TGGTAATACGCCATCATTCTTTCGTTTGGCTGTTTTCGCCTAGCTAAACATTCCTCCAGAATCGCGCCATAGTCCCGTCGCCTAGGGAATGCCTCTCTTAGGGCCGTCTTCCACTGGTCCCACGAGAGATCGTATTCCTCTCGCTGGTGGAACCAGCGCTTCGCCTCGCCGTCCAGTCTCGCCTGCATAATTACGCTGCGATCATGGGTCGCCCATCCATGAATCGCCCCCAGCTGGTCGATCTTATGCAGCCATCGGTCCACGTTCGAATCCGGGTCGCCTGGATCGAACCGGTCGATGACCTCTAACCCCAACGCCATGGGTCGAAGCGCCGACGACGATGTCGAGGATTCTCCCTCCGTGATAGCGCCTCCATCACGAGGAGTAGGTGGTGCAGAATTCGCCTTCTTGCCACTCGCCTCCTTGCTATTCGCCTCCGTCTTCTTCGCCATTTCGTGGACAACCAAGACCGCCTGTTGTCTCGCCGCCCTTTCAACGCTCTTCAGGAAGCCGCCGGCCACCAGAGCCCTCGCCAATTCGTCAACGGGGATATCGGTCAGGTTCGTACTACGCCGTCTCGAAACTGCCGCCTCCTCCGATCGCCTTTCTTCTTCCATTTCGTAATCTAGCTCCGCCTCTAGATCTAGTTCATCGGTGCTTCCCATTGGCTAAAAAGAATCAAGTTCGGTTATAGTAAATTGCAAATTTCGTCAATTAAATAATTTATAATCGCCTACGCCACTGAAATATCCACTCCCTGCACCAACGTCAGAGCTGACGCACGAATCGTACGATCAGAGAAGACATCGCCAATTGAACTCGCCCAATAAGAGCGCTTGTTGCAATTGCAAAGCATCCTGAAACATCGTTCGCCGCCAATGCACCTGTGACTTAACCGATTGCTGATATTCGTCAATTCAATCTTGGCCAGAGACTGAACTAAACCATCAGCGGTGGCCCGTCAACCGTTAGGCGCTTTTCCCCAAAACTCGCCATTTTAAAACCGATCACCTTCCGCCTAATTTACTATTTAGCAATTTTCACCAATCGCCATTCATTTGCAATCAATCGCCAAGCACCATTTAATCTACCATTATACTTATCACCATTCGCCAAGTGCCAATAAGAAATAGTTAGTTACGCCATTAATAATTAATTTAACGCCTACAATTAATTCACCGTTCAAAGAAATCGCCAGTTCGTTAGTCAAACAAATCGCCAAATTGTTAAATTAAAATAAACTACGCCATTGGAAAATTAAATTAAAAATTAAATCAAACCGCACGCCCATGGTCGCCGTTGAACATCGGAATGTGGTCGCCATATTTATTATTGTTTTTTGTCACCACTAGTCAAGTTAACTCTCGCCGTCGACTGGAAAAATCAAATTAACAACGTTCGCCGCTGCACATGCGCACACCAATCCTTTTTCGCCGGTAACGGATTTCGCTTTTGAATTTTCTGTTTAAATTTCACAAATACGCCGCGCTCACCTTATCCCGAAATATTATTATATCGCCGCAATAATTAAATGGGTACTTACTGTTTAAACGCCTAAACACTAAGCAAAATATCAGAAAAGTTCGATACTCAAGATGGCGTCCTCGCTCTGTCGCCGTTAGATTTTTCGCCAGAAAATCTATCGCCTTTGGTACGCCGGTCTTATCCCACTTCTGAGATGAAACACACACTTTTTACACTCGAAACACTTTATTAGAAAATACGAAAATTATAATTAAATCGCCTGTATTCGCCAGTACGCCGGGTAGAGATTCGCACCACTTCAACGCCGATTCAACACTGTTCTCCCGTCCACCCCTTGCCATGCGCAATCGCCTCGCCGTAAGTCGCCCTCACTCGCGCCGCCTGGAATTAACTGGCCTCTTACTTTACCGCCGCTTAGCCAATCCGTCCCGTTAATCTTTTCGTCGGTTTAATATCTTCATAATTCTATTTTAATATTAGTGATATTTTTTCAATAAATTATCGTTTAAAAAATTCTCATTTCTATTTAATCGACTCGACGTTCACCCATCCGAACCCGTTTTGATACTGTCGAAGTGTCGAAACCGTCGAAATTATTTGATTTTTAATCTAACCAAGCCAAAGCACGGTGTGAAGTCCAGTAGAACAATTAAATTTATTAGAATTTATCGCGACGTTCTATTGAAATGTATACTGGTAGACTGGATTTCAGCCGGCTAAGAATTTAACATTGATTTCCCTGTTCCCTGCGCGAATAATTTTCTAACAGTGTATATAACAGTGGCTATACTGTATACAGGTCGTACGAACTGATCCGCTGCAAGCATACAATGAGAATTATGAGATAGCTAATTGAACTTTTGCTATGTAAGGAATAAAGAGAGCATACTAAATAATCACGCCCGCTATCCCCGCTATTCGCTATTGGACGAAGCGAAGCGAATTGACGAATTCTAATATCGGCCGGCAACCGATAAACAAGTTTCTGTTCTTTACTATCTTATAGTATTGATTGAGATTCTAATTCTAATGCTTGCAGCGGATCAGTTCGTACGACCTGTATATGTATGTATGTAGCTGTATGTATACAGTGCTTTCATTTCAAAACTAGTCACCCAAGATAACTTTTAAAATATCTTTAAAACAAAAGAACAAAAAAACACGTCAATTTTTATTTACGGGGGGACAAATTTTACAGGTATCTGTCACCCTGCAGTTTCAACCCCTAAGTTGGGGTGAATATCACTTCTAAAAGTTTAAATAGGAAGGGGTATCATGTGATAGCTCTATTTAAAGGTCTCTTTTTTTCCAATATTTTGACACATTATTTTTTTAAATCAGATTATTTTTTACAGAGTTATGCCATTTTAAAGTTTCAAATTAAAATAATTATTATTTAGATCGTATTTGCATTATTAATATTTTATTAGTATTAGAATTACCTTGTAATCAAATTAGATGTTCAAAATGTCCGCCATTGTTTGCAAGACAATGGTAAAGTCGCAGCTCGAATTCCTCCCGCACTTTTTGAAGCGTCTCTGGTGTAATTCGCTCACACTCCTCCACTATTCTACGTCTAAGTTCAAGAATATCGCGAGGTTGAGTTTTATACACCACAGTTTTTAGATGTCCCCATAAAAAAAGTCAAGGGGCGTTAGGTCGGGTGATCTAGCTATTCTATAGCGCCCCTTCTTCCGATCCATTTATTTGGAAATGTCTCATTAAGCCAATTTCGTACAGGCAGGGCATAATGTGGAGGTGCTCCGTCTTGTTGAAAAAATAGGTTTTCTTCGTCTAGCAACAAATTTCCATCTTCATCTATTTGGTTTTCTAAAGATTCGGTTATAAGGGGATTTATGAAATTTTCTAATAAGTCCAAATACAATTCCCCAGTTAAATTTTCTTCCATGAATAAAGGACCAATAACCATGACCAATCCATTTAAAAAGAATCCTGCCTCGTCAGAAAAACAAATATTTTTGTTGTATAAGCTGTTGTAAAAGCTGTATTTTGTAGGGAACAAAATTATTTAGCCGTAACGTTTTATGCACCGAGCCGACGGAAATATTTGTTAACCTGGAGACTTTTTGTATTGATGTTTGAGGATCTATGGCAAAATGACCTAAAATCTCAACTTGTGCAGCTTCAGTTAAAACTCTACGATTCTTGACACTTTTATTGCACACACTTCCAGTTTCTTGAAATTTATGAACTAAATCCAACACATACTGATGTCCAACATTTTTATCGGGATGTCTTTGATTAAAAACATGAGCAGTTCTGCGTGCACAGTGTTGTCCTTCTCCATAAATAAAGATTATTTCAATTCTTTCTTGTAAAGAATAAACTATTGTCGAAAATTGTTGGTCAGTACACAACGAAACCAAAATACTAATAGTAAATTGTTTAAATTTATAGTCAAAAATATCTTTTGTAAAAACATTTAAGGTTTTTTTCTCACTTGCTTATCTCGGTATTTATACTCATGTACTTTTTTTAATTCCAATTCAAAATTTCAAATTTTTAACGGTTCCTAGCTCATAACTCGTTAAAAAATTATCCGATTTAAAAAAATAATGTGTCAAAAGATTGGAAAAAAAGAGACCTTTAAAAAGAGCTATCACATAATACCCCTTCCTATTTAAACTTTTAGAAGTGATATTCACCCCCGCTTAGGGGTTGAAACTGCAGGGTGACAGATACCTGTAAAATTTCTCCCCCCGTAAATAAAAATTGACGTGTTTTTTTGTTCTTTTGTTTTAAAGATATTTTAAAAGTTATCTTGGGTGGCTAGTTTTGAAATGAAAGCACTGTATGTAGTATTACAAGCGAATTGCGCTGAGCGTGTAAGTGATTAAGCGAGACGCGTGCAGTTTTTCGAGATAAATTCGGTCGAGACGTGCCTACTCTCGTTTATTCGATATTTTATACGTATGATAGCTCGTACACTAAAGAAAAAGTTGCGTTAATAAAAACCTCACATTTATATATAAATTCGAACGATGGTTTTTCTGCCTCGTCGACCACTCATGTGTTTGCTATTAAAAGTATATTACAAGAATGAACATGATCTTTATGCGTTCGTAGACGACGGACGCCTATCGGCGGTGCTTTCATCGATTTGAGTTTGAATATACGCGTTGAATACGAGCGTTGAGCGTATGTAACCAATTTCGGTGTTTGTTTCGTTGCGGTGTCGTCGCCTTTTCGAACGATTACAATGGGCTTCCGGCCTATCTTTTACGCGTCTCTCAAGTCTTCTTTGGCTTTCTGCATTTTATTCGTACGCGGTTTACGGACCAACGATTTTTGCATTGTTCCGAAGGGCGACACAAAGAGGCCGTCTTTGTAGATACCTTTGTAGGTACCTTTTTCACAGCGAGGTGGCGGATTAAGCGAGCGCTTTGCGTAAGCCATCCTCATGCGACCGACTCTAACAAATGATTTAAAAAAATTATTTGACATAAATTTTGTGACAACTCTCCGCTAACCGAGCGAGTTTATAAAATACGTACCGATTCTCTTTCTCGAGAACACCGTGTCGCTTTCTATCTAGCGAAGGGTCGAGAGAATGTTGAATATTTGTGCCGTTTGGCTGAAGTAAAATGACCAACGCGACGTGCACCTCTAAATTTACAATGCGCTTTATCGAATGTGTATTACACATGAATTTGTGTAATCTGTACATTTACTCAAACGCACGGATGGAGGATGATGCTGTGTTTGTGCCATTACTAGTCGAATGCGGTATTTTGATTTTGTTGTTTATTGTCTGTCGTAGGCAGTTGTATGAAAGCGTGGCGTTGGAGAATTTAATTCTTTTAAAACGCAAACATAAACGCGCATTGTTGAACGAACGAAAGAAAGAAATTTGAAACGTATACCGTTATTTACAAATACAGGCATATTATATGTGTATATAATTTTCATATACATATTCATATACATATCATATACATATTTTCATATATAGAGCATGTTGTGAGATTAACGGGTGTTTTAACGTTTATTTCTTTTCGATTAGTAAGTCAACGACACTAGTAGTCAGCGTTGGTGGCCAGATTTGTAGTTCGTTCCGAATCAGCTGTTGCGCCTTGGCAAAACCAGGGCATTCCAGTATTCTGTGAATGGGGTCGTCTGTGATGTTTCCGCATCTGATGCAGTCCGAGTTCCTAATCTTGCCGATGCGTCTGAGGTGGATGCCGAACTCTCCGTGTCCGGTTAGAACCTGGGCTCTGCTTTGTGTTGTTGTCAGGACTCCGTTGGAAATCACGGTGGATACGTCGGGTACAAAGCTGTGTGTTACTCTTCCTTTGTGGCTGTCGTCCCATCTACTTTGCCAGATGTCTTCCTCACGGAGTTTCAAGTACTCCTTGGCAAGTCCGATAGAGTCGAAAGTTTCTGGGGTGATGAATTCGTCTACGAAAACTGCGCCTCGATTGTTCCCGAGTTCTCTGATGCAGTTTAGGCGCTGGATCTGTAGGTCCAGAGGGGTAAGGCCGGCCAGGACTCCCGCCGCCTCCGTGGATGTGGAGGAGTAGCAGCCCGCGATCGCTCTGGCGAAGGTCCCGTGTGCTGATAAGTATTGTCTTCTGACTTTAGTTGTTGTGAGTCGGTCCACCCATACCCGTGACCCGTGTGTTAGGATTGGCAGGATGGCTCCCTTGTAGATTGTTGTCAGCGACTTTGCTGTTCGTATGTCCCATGTTCTAGCTACCTTACTGCGTAGTCCAATCGCGATTCTTCTTGCTCTCCGGGTGGCATGCGCAGCGTTTTTCAGGAAGTTCAGCTTGGCGTCCAGGATGACGCCTAGGTACTTCTGTTCTTTGACACATCGGATGTTTCGCCCGTTGATTTTCAGGTCTAGGTCCCTGTGGTGTTGTCTTGAGGGGCAGGTGGTTACCATGAACTGTAACGTTAAAATTTTACCCCTTTAATAAAACTACAAAAATAAAACGGTAAATATATATTTTTGTTACTTAGGTGGATGACTTGAACATCCGGGCACGCGGCTATACTCAGATGAGACGGGAGTGAGTCAAAATTAAATGATATTTAAATATAAAACGGGCGCCAGTTAAGTTGACCAAGTGCCCTTAACAATATAATCTTATATCAACTCCCAACTTAACAAGGAATTGATAGTACACACTTTTCGTAACTCTATAGGTATTTAATTTAATACAATAGCGAAAGAAATAATAGAATACAATACAAAAAAAAATTGAGAGAAAATTAAGAAATAGAAAGATAATTATTAAGAAATTCCAAACAGTACGAGATAGCAGACACGGTATAAATCAAATTCGACTTACCGATGGTGATCCGGTCAACCGGATGGTTCAAAGTAAAACGAAGTTCTGCGAAGTCAATATACTATGGCGACACAGCTGGATCCTCCAATTGATCGATCAGTTGGGGTCCAGATCCAAAGGAATATCTATAATTCACAGAGTAATTACAAAACGGTAAAGGCGAGTCGAATTTTCGTTATTAACAAAAGAAAATTAATTAACTATCGTACTGAATTAAAATTTAACGATAATAAAATTGATACTATACGCGAAGATGAATTTAACAATAAGAAAAATGAAAGAAATTGAACTACGATGAATTAAATTTAAATAAATAATTATAATAAAACTTCTCCGAAAATGGTGGACGGATCCCACGTGGTGAAGTTCCCAAGGTTCCTGGTGACGGTCTGGGTATCACATAAGAGTCCAGATACTCGGGACAACAGGTGAACTTTGTCGAACCAACTATCGGTCGCAACTACAGGCGGTCAAAGTGACGCAGGAATCGGTCCCAGTCCAATCGGAAGACAGTTAAATACAAATAACCTCACGGAAGATCCAAGAAAATACGGATTGGAAAATTTAACCCAAAGTAATAGTAGTAATAAAAATTAATCCTAAGAAACACACAATTAATGATTGCAACAGGAAGGAAGACAAGACTTACCCCTAGTGTTCTAAGTCGGGGATCGAAACGTGATTGATTTGGTCAAGAGGATATAGATCCCGAATAACGGATTTAACTCACGTTAACGCCAAAAATATACGGCAAATCAAATAGCACAAGGCTCCAAACAACTAACGAAGTTAAATATATTCAGACAGACCGTAGAAAATCCGAGATGTTTCCCGATTACTAAAAATGTAATACCACGAGTCTGTCTGCCTCAAAGACCAAAATCAAAATGGAACCAGCGGAACCACGGAACAACCTAAATAACCCTTTAGAAGTGTCAATTACTCAGAACACTAACTCGTCAAGAACACAAAGACAAATGTCAATAACAATAAACAGAAGAATTTATTGTTGGACAAACGAACGTACTCGTAGAATCATTAACCCTAGTTATTCCAAAAGGTAAACAAATCTTCAATACAATCAATTAGTGAATTTAAAATGTGTAAAGGAATTAATGATTACTGTGGGGAGATTTTAGAACGTTACAGACCCCCCTTACTTCAAGAAAATTCACCAGGTGAATTTTCACTAACGCTAGTTAGTAATCAGAGTAAGAAAATACACTTCAAACAAAAAATATCTACGCTCCAAAGTATAACACTTGTCAACCTCCTGTGCAAAAAAAAAGATAATATAAAAAAAAATAGAAAATTCAACCAAGAGAGCAATTTAGACGTCAAGACTGAGATAACCACAAAAAATATACCCTCAAAATAAATTTTCCAACACTACACCCAAATTTTCAAGTCGAAACTTGGGACTTAAGACAACAAAAAAAATCGGGACTTTTCCCGGGAACCCTGTGTGTTGGCAACCACCCCAACAACACATTTCGAGATGAAACTCGGGGATGGAGAACGAAACCCAGTCCATTATAGTAGGACCAAACTAAAATACTTCGGTCTCTCTGCGTCAACCAACTCCCGTTGCCGTTGCTGTTGGAGAGAGTCTCAATGCACACTTCCAGGGGCGACCTCCATGAGAAGATGTTAAATCACGGTCGTGGTTACACACTCCTGGACCTCACACCATACAGCGTACAAAGGTCCTTTCTCCCTCAGCAACCACAACGATAAGTCAGTTTTGGTTTCGAGACCTCCTAAAGAAAACAAGGGAAAGAAGCGAATGGTTACTTGAGTCATGGTACTGTAGGAACATCCACAGTGAGTCATGTCAGACCATCTTGGTCCGATACCAGTAGTGAACCCCCGCATAGTGATAGTCTCCCGTAGGTCGCTACCGGCAAGTAATTCACCCCCCAACACCGAACCGTGAAAAGGCATTTCCCATTTAAGGGAGACCCACTGTACCGTCCCCACACCCACCGCTACTCAGGCCCGTAACAAAACAAAAAAAGGGGATTTTCGGGACGTTGCCCGGGAGCCTGAAGGGCACCCAGCGTGATGTAGTCCACGCCAGACTAAAAACCAGAAAAAGAAAACCCAAACCCATAGGCCTAAATCATGCGACTAAAAATGGAATCGGTCCAGATCCACGAAAGTACCGAGGAATCAAAGTCAACGAAAACAAACAAAACCAATCGTTCTGCAGTTTGCAGGTGCGATCTGAAAGGACAGCCAAGAGTCTCGTACTCACGTAACGTGGTCCCTAAGGCACGACTACTCCTGCTGAACTCACCTAACAATCCTGACAGAGCGAAGGAACACTGAAAGAAACCATCCATTCCACGGAACTTCAACGGACAATAAACACTAACTGCACCAATTCCAACCAAAAGTTAGTAAAAGCGGCCAAAAGTGGCCAAGTTGAAGGGTTCTTACCTTCCCGCTGGATAATCCTCGGGTGATGGTATTCTCCTGCCCCCAATCACAGGGCACATTAAACCCAAATCAGCATTATAAAGTCAAATTCGAATAAAAAAAATAAGCATTTAAACCGATTACAGAACAAACAACTCTCTAAAACCCAACTAAGTACAAAGGATGGAATTGTAATAAGGTATAAACAGACTGTATCGTTTCTCCAAGTGTACGATAGCAAGAATCAAGCTCCTTGGTCTGACAGGGTAATATCCAAAAATATATCTAGGTATTGTTAACAACATCGGCCGGTTTCAGGTCTTTAATGTTCCAAACACCAACGTCGCATCCATTTTCGTCCATTAACAAGTACGTCCACGGTGATACTCGCTTCTTAATACGGAAAGGTCCAACCCAACGAGGTGCTAGTTTACTTGTGTAATACTGAGCAGCATCCGAAGACACATAATTTTTACGCCAGACGATTTGATTGGGTAACAACTCGACACATCGCCGACGCAAGTTATACATCCGCTCATTCTTCTTAGCTGCCTCATCTAAACGTTTACGGACATCTTTGAACAGCGCAATTAGCTCTTTCTGTCGCTCATCTGGATCAGGTTTCAACTGGGTGTTATAATCCATATCATTCCCGTTTTTGGACTCAAAATTTTTACCATTCAACACCATATGTCTCCCGAAGTTAACGAAATAAGGGGTTTGTTTAATCGTTTCGTTATAGGCCGTCCGGATTGCGCACGTCACTTTCGTTAGATTACTCTCCCACTTCCGGTGATCATTTGAAACATACATCGA